TATATACATATATATACACACACACACACACTTATAGCCAAAAAATGACAAAACTATACACTAAGCAATTTACAATGATTCTACATATAATTCTTTCATAATAAGGAAAAGTTTATAACTGGCTGTGGTGACTATAATCCCAGCCTCTTAGAGGCTGAGGCAGGATGATCCAAGTTCAAGCCCAGCTTAGGCAATTTAGCAATTTAAGAAGACTCTGTCTCAAAATTTAGGCAATTCAGCAATTTAAGAAGACTCTGTCTTAAAATTTTAAAAGGGCTGGAGATGTAGCTCAATGTGAAGGCTCTGAATTCAATCTCCAGAACTAAAAATATGTGTGTGTGTGTGTGTGTGTGTGTGTGTAAGACATTTTCTTATAATAATAAATTATAAAATGTGCAATACAAAAAATTAAACTAATAATATTTATAGCAATCTCATTACATTTAATAAATGCTCACTCTACAGCATACCAAATAAAAATTGTTAAATGAAAATGATATAAAAGTATAAAAATGTATACATGCAAAGTGGCAAAATACAGAATATAAATAACCCTGATTAATTGTGCAATTAGGTAGATATATAAACATATAATATATATATAGACAAGGCTATAAGTAAAATTCAAAAATTTCTTCTGTTAGAGTGATAAATAATTTTTTTTTTTAGTATTTTCTTTTGTTTCACTTCATCTGGTCAGTTTTTCTATATTTACCTACTTAAAAAGAAAAAAACATGGATTTGACTGTCCGAAGTTCGGATTCAAGTAGCATTCTATCCTATGGATCATGTTTTAAATGATGTTCATTTATCATTTTTTAATTGTGAGTAGTTCTTAAGGACCTATTACAAAACATGTGCTCAGTAGGGGACTTTTGGAACTCAAGATAACTCAAGACAAAAACCCTTAAGTTAGCAGGGGCTTTCAAGGGGGGGGATTTCCTTTTTCAGGTTTCTCGTTATCTCAGAAAAAGGTCATTTTCTCCAACTGGCGATGACACTGCAGGGCTGGCTCTGAGAGCATTCCACAGCTGTCAAAATTCCTCTGCAGCACAGGCACTTTCCCTCTCCAAGAGACTGACTCAGAGACATTCCCCAAACCTTGGTTCTTCTTTGCCTCTGTCACTCCAAACCAGCATACAAGGTAAAATTCTCCATCCAAATTAAATTCTAATTTGCCTCTACATGTGACAATTGTAATTCAGACACAGACAACAGAGGCTTTCTCACTTTTCTAACTGTGTGGTAGTGGGACCCTTGATGACCTCTAAATATTAGTTTTATTTTTGCCCACTAATTGTGCCATCATTTAGAAATTTGTGTTTTCCATCCTGGTAGTTAATGTTTACAACTGATTTACAATTTATCATTTTATTATATGTATAAAACTTTTCAAGTCCTTTGTGATACACGTGAAGCTTATTAAAAATAAAAGTACAGGGAAATACATTGCAACTCATGTCATGTTCCTTGGATTGTTTTAATGAAAGTAATTAAATTATATATGAAGCAACTATTCTGGAAACTATTTTGTATGATCATTTGTAATTACTTGTTTCTTTTACAAATACCATCTCCTTTCCTTCAACCATAATTTTGACACAACTGCTGTAAAAAATTTGGAAGAGGAAACAGGCTACCTAGGGACTGGCCATAGGCCTCAAAGGAGCAACATAGAACCGATAATCCTCATACACTACTTAACAAAATAAACACAAACAAATAGAAAGTAGTACTCATAGGTATTCCTATAAAACAATGTTTTGTAAATTAAATTTGACTGTTTTCTGCCTTCTATAGAAATCTGTGAATGTTTGGGAATTTGAAACTATTTTATTATTAAGTAGCATGAGGAAAAAATCCTCCAGAAACTAGGGGAGAGAAAACTAGCCCTAAGAATGTAAAGGCAGAGAAAAGAAGCAAAGCACAGAAGAGGATATCTGCTTTATCTATCTAGGGACAAGAGGACTAAAGAGAGAAAGAAGAAAAGGGATCTAAAACAGCCCCACCTACCCGCTGCTCATGAATCAATGTGTTTCTGTGTTCCGTGTAATCCGCGGTCTGCCTCCACGTTATTTATTACTAAGGATGCACAGCCAAGTGGGGAGGCTAAAAACAAGTATTTCTAGACACACAAAAGAGCACAGCAGTGGGGAAGTTTTGTCAACAACGGAAGCTTGGCACTGGGCAAATGCTGGGTGCAAGACCCAGTTCTATGAAACTAAATTAAGAGTCATACTCAAAAGGGAAATGAAAGATGTAGCAAAAAATGTAAAGAATGATTATTTAGAGGATAAAGGTACATCTGTTTGTTAAATTTCACTCATGTGAACTTATAATATTATTAAATTAGCCTTAACATATAATATGTACAATAAATTATATTTAAATTTACATAGATGTATTTTTCCTTCCTTCTTTCTTTTCTCCTTTCCCTCATCTCAGTTGGTCCTTCCCTTTGAGCAATTTCTTTCCCTTTCACAATATCTATTGTACCTTTCAGATTTTATTTACTCTTTCAGGTTCTTACACTAGGAAGCCAATACAGTGTTTACACATGTGGGTCTGATTTATTTCACTTAGAGTATGGTCTCTAGTTGTATCCATTTACCTATAAAAGCCTTGAGTTTATCTTTTTTATAGCTGAGTAATACTCCATTGTATAAAAAATGTACTCCTGATGTCTATTGGTTTATTGCAAGGAACAATTAATGCTTAAATTTTTTTACCGATTTTGTATGCTTGTATCTGATAATCTGAACAACTAATTTGAAGACAACAATATGCAATATAACAACCATTGTTGAATTCCTACCATCTTGTGTAGTGAAGCTCTGTATTGTTTCTAACAGTTTTTATTACTTGTATTCCCTTTCATTGTTTGATGGATCTTGCATTCTTACATCTGGTAATCTGAGCAGCTTCGTTGAAGATAACAATATGTAATATAACAACCATTGTTAATTTCATATCAGTTTGTTTTGAAATTCTGTATCGTTTTTATTATTTTTGTGTTGTTTCGTTTTGACTTTGTTATTATTGTTAGTGTTTTTTCTCTTTAAAAAGAAATTATATTTAAATTTAATATCATATATAGTAATCATAAATGTATCCATACATATATGTGTGGTGTGTGCATTCCTTAAGAAAGCAGTTGCCTTGGTGCTGCAAGAATGCGACCTCTGGTAAAGATACATTGTACATAAATTAAACAAGCACACCTCCAAACTTCGATGATTGCATTACATGTCCCTAATCCTGCTGTCCAGAGCCCAGTAGCATTTCAAAGCAAGGCACACTCCATTAGCGGAGTGATTAATGTTAAAAGAGAGATAGAAAGAGAGAGCGGGGGAGAGAGAGAGGGAGAGAGAGAGAGTGCTTTGAAGTTGTATAAATGTTTTCTCAATCTTGAATCTTAAATTTTCACTGAAGAAGTTTCTAAAAGATGGACATTTTTTTCTGAAAGAACCAGATTCAGTTTTTGTTTTCGCATCATAAAATGGTCCCCGACAACACAGTCTGTTCCTTTCTACTCTTGGTGTATTCGGGAAATCAGGTGCAATCCGCAAAACCTCCTGGGCCTTGGAAATAGATAGGAATCCAAGCCCAACTCTGTCATTTATTAGGATGTGGTCTAAGCGCTCTGCAGCCCATTTCGCCCGCTGTAAAAGGGAGAGGAGGATGTCTTCCCCACCACACGGCTGCTCTGAGAATTGGGGTCACATCTGTTAGCCCTGGCCCTGCCACTCCACTGGGGTCCAATAAAATAAGAATGGACAGGTTCTCAGAACTGAGATGACCCTGCTGCGGCCACATCCAGGTGACCAACCCTCATCACCCTGGCGGCCCTCAGCGAGGGGCTCCCTGAGAGCGGCGGCGGAGCCCCTGCCCTGCGCGCTGGGTCCGATGGGTCCACGCCCGAGGTCGGGGGCCGCGGCTTCTCCCTCCCCGCCCGCATCCAGAAACGACAGCGCTGAGGGTGCGAACCAAGACAAGGAGGGCGAAGAAAAAGTACAGAAAAACAAAACCAAAACCCTCGGAGGCAGTGACTCAGTGTCTTAGGCAGAGGAATTCCCAGAAGGGAAGCACAACAGTTTCTTTTTCTGTGTTGCTATAAGAAAGTAAATAAACCTCCAGGGCTGCATTGTGCCTAAAATAACTTTATTTAAAAAAAAAAAAAAAGGCTGCCTTGGGAAGCCTCGGGTGTAACCCTGCCTGCGGCTGGCTGACTTCGTTGTAGAACGGTGAAAAACAGCAACAGCCACCACTCCAAGACGAGGGTTTCCTCCCCCCCCCCTCACCCCACCCCACCCCCACCGCAGCATCGCGTGCGCTCGCACCCCAGCCATCCACACCCCACGGCGGATCTCCGGCTGGGCCTGCGGGACCAGGCGAGTCCCTCCTCTCTGTGGCTGGGGTCTTTCTCCCGCGACCCCAAAGCTGTCCAGGCCGGGCCCCCACCCGCCAGGGCTCCCACGCCCACCCACTGCTCCCGCACAGTGGCACCCAGCGAGCTGGCGCTCCCCGCCCACCGCGGCATCAAGCCCCCTGCAGAGCCACTTCTGAGGCACCCACGCTGGGGAGAAAGTCCTTCGGCCCTCTGGAGCGAGTCTGGCCGGCGCCCGCATCCTCCGCCACGCGCCCGTCGCGGCCCCGCCGCAGCCCCGGGGCGCGCCCCGCAGCCGCCCCACCGCGCCTGGCCTGGGCGAGGCCGAGAAGACCCTTCGCCCCGGGCAGCAGAGGGCTCACCGCAAGCAGGAGAACCCGGGTCCTGGGCATGGCCGTGGAACAACCCGCTGAGGTCAAAGAGCCTGTCCAAGTCGGAGCCGAGTGAGTCACCCACCCCCAGAAGTGACACTCGCCGGCCACACCTCCCGCTCCTGGCCCGGGACGCAAGCGAAGTTATTCTCAGAGCTTCCCTCTCCTCGCAGACGCGCCTTTGCCGGTTTGCTTTGCGGAGACCAGATCGACCTCACGAAAAGCCCCCGGGGTCAGGAGGAAGCTTTGGGGGAAGGCCGGGGTGGGCAGGGCTCCCTTGATTCAGCAACTGGGCCAGCGCGGGGGGAGGCTAGGATGGGAAGGAGTCAGGGTTCGTTGCACAAATGGGCATTCCCCATCGGGCGCTTCCGCAGTCGGTGGCTCGCTCAGGGCAGGTGAGGACCCCAGGGGCGCGTTGCTGTCTTTCCTCCACCGCTGCTACAGTTTAACCAGGTGCGGTTGGGCAGGTTTGAACCCAGCCTGGAACCCAGGCCCAAATGTCTTGCCAGCGTGCAGAGCCTGGGCTACTTGCCGGGGCGATTCAGAGGAAGACCACACCTTCACTCAGCTCCTGGCCTGTGGCCCTGACAGGAAATGCCCACAGAAGCCCCTGCATTGTGTGTGAAGCAGCAATGATTCTAAGAGAAAGCAAGACGCAGTGCCATGGGATTCTTTTACCATCTTTATTTTACTTTATATTTTTGTTAGTATATTTTTATTAATGTATATTCGTCTTACATACTGATCACACTCATCACAGGGAATTTGTACCTGTACACAAGTGCCACAGGATTCTGAAGAGGGAGAGCCCGTCGGGTTATGTTTCTCAAAAGGAGAACAAAGCTACTTATGACAAATCAAAAAGCCCCAGCTGTATTAAACGGTCACAATTACTTCCTTTCCTTTGTTACTCATTATTTCCTGACCATTTTTCTTTAGAAAAAAACCTTATAATTCTTAGTAGCCTGGTTAACACTGCTGAAAGTCATTACTGTTTTGGAAAAAAAAGTAGGTACTGTATCTCTTTAGATAGCTTTGCATGAGTGTTTCAGTAGGAGAGTTTGTGTGATAACGTCAGTAATAAGCCTGCGTCTGGAAGCAGTTCGTTGAGTGCACCACTGCTGGCTTCAGTATCGCTCTGCATCCTCCACCAAGCTCTGCGCCTCCTGCTTCTTCTGCCTGGCTTCCTCTGCGGTGACACAACTCACTAAGCAACCCTACCCCAACCTTCTTACCACCCACGTGGCCCTGGCCCTCTTCACGCTTCAGGCATTTTCTTGTGGAATTCTATTCAGGCCCACAAGTCTGGGGCAGTCACCCTCCTTAATGTTCTCACTCACCCTGTTTTGCATCTGTCTGTGCACTTATCACCCAGTGCTGCAGTCACTGATTTGCTTGTCAACGCCTTCCCTTCCAGGAAATGGTTGGTGCCGTGGAGAAGAGCCTGATTGTGCCAGTCTTATTCACAGCATAACTGGACACAAAGGAAAGTGAGTGGGAAGGAGAGGCTGGCGTATGGTGCCCTCGATGTTATCTTCTTCACTTTCCTGTAAATCTAAAGCTAGTTCAAAAGTGAGTTCGTTTGAATGTTAACGTATCATGAAAAGAGGGAAGAGATGGAGAAGGAAGGGGAAAAGGGAGACAGAAGAAAGGCAGAAAGGACAGTGGGCAAAATCAACATCTTTTAAGCATAAATTACGAGCCAGCAACTTTCACAAATAATTCATCTTTATTTAACGCTAATCATTATGACCAAGTGAACAATTTTTTTAACTTCGCAAATAAAGAATTGTAGCCAAAAAAGCAGTGTAAGCAACAGTGACAAAATTAGCTAGTTAATAAATAGCAGTGCCTGGAATTGAAATATTCTTGCTCTCTCAGCTCTGCTTTCCTTACTTCCCATCCCCTCCCACCCACACCTGATTACCCAGCAAGTTCAACGAAATATGTAGAAGTGCTTTGTGTGGATAAATGTGCTTCATGATCAAATGGGTTTAGAAAATTCTGGGTTAACTTAATTTAAACAAATGTCTGAAGCCATGATTCTCAGAGCTTGGATATGTATGTGGGGCAGGGCGGGGGCTGGGGAGAGGGACAGGGAACTCCACTTAGCCATTATCAGGTTGCAGTAAATCTTGAGACCTTTGTTAGAAACACTGGGACCCAAACCCTCTCACTCTCCACTGAATTTGAAGGAGAAATAGATATCCGAGCTATGGAACCGATGTGGTTGGTTATGAAAGGAGCTGGGAGATTTGCCAGGGCCAGAAGCAAAGTCCATTCACGCTGAGAGGAAGCTACCAGGAAAGGTGGAGCCTTGTGACGTCACCCGCGTCCTGGGTGGCTGTTACACTGAAACTGAAAGCTGGAATGCCCAGTTCACTGAATTCTCAGTTTCTGATTAATCCAAATTCTTACAATTAAAAGTATCTCCGGTGGTGCATCTCTAGAACTTATGATCAGGATTAGAAAAATCCTTTGATAGCAAAATTAATTGCAACAAATTAGCTAGTTTAGTTTTAAACTCAAATGAGAACAATTTCCTATACAGTCTTAGCCAGCTTGATATCTAGGGACCTTAGTCCTACCAAACTTTTTTTCTGTCACTAGAGGGCATCAGAGCCTGTATCGATGAAGAAATTAAACTTGCTATCAATTAACAGCAAGATATTTAGGTTACTGGAAAAGGAAGAGAGCGAAAAAAGAGCTTTGATTTAATAAATAATCTGTGATCATGAGCATGTGGACATTTGCATCTCCCAGAGAACATGTGACTTATGTTTAAGGGTTAAAGAAACGTGTGCAAAGCACTTAGCACACTCAGTAAGTACTACTTCCTATTTTCACATTGCTCTTCCTAATTAGATACCCTCACAGGATGAGTTGATAATTTGGGGTCACAGTTGATATAGAAAGAAGGTGTTGATATCTAGGGACCTTAGTCCTACAGGTACAAGCGGCTCACAGCCTTTTTCAAGAGCTGCCTCCTGTGTGAGCATGCTCCTGTGCCTTGCGGGCAGCGCAGCCCCAGAAAAGGGCCTTGGATCCCGTCTGACCACGGCTGAAAGGAGTGGCCACAGCGATGCAGAACAAGCTATGGGATCTTCCAATTTTTGCCACCAGGAAAATTGGTGGTACACTACCCTACCTACCTCTTAAAAAAATGACGCTGAAGAAAACAATGTATAAATTAGGATGCACACCTGATTTAGGTCAGCAGTGGGTCAAGTGGCAGAAAACAAAAGCTATTCTACAGGCTCTGGTTTCATAAACCAAGTGAGCACACCTCCCTCACTGTTTCTCCGTGTCAGGGTACCCTGAAAACGTAGATATTCCATGACAGCATACATGAGAAACATGCACACCCTACGTGTTCAGAAGAGAGAGGGACCAGTTTTCAACAAGTGCTGATCTGGGGCAGATGAAGTTTAGTTCAGAGTAGGCTTGGCTGAAGACAGTGTTTCATAAACCTCAGTTAGCCTTTTGCTTTTCTGTAGTCCACTTGAATATATCAAATATATGTCTAAGTAACATGCATGTTTAAAGTCAACTTTGTTTTATCATCATTTTATTTTTAAAATAAAACATTACATTATAACCATAAGTGGAGAATCAACATTCCTTGCCCCAAATAGACAGTATCTATACTAAAAATAAATGTACAACTATTGTAATAAAATATTTGCCTGCATACCACTAAAAAATTTTTTCCCAAACCACCACGAGGACCTTATAGTTCTGGAAAGGTTGGTGGTGCCTTCTCTTTGCTTTCACTTTTCCCGTGTCCCCAAAGGACTGCCTAGAAAAATGACTAGTAACCCTAGTCTCAGAACCTCCCCAAGAGGTTGGAAGAAATTGATATAATAAAGCAAAGTAAGAAATCAGAGCAGTAAAGGATGAAGGAACTTTGCTCCTAAACCCTTTGTAGTTCCAGGAAACCGGGATGGGGCACCTCTGTCAGGGCAGCCTTTTCCATTAGAAGGGCCTGAGGGACACCAGAGGGAGGTGATCAGTGAGCAGGCAGGGGAGGACCACAGTGAGTACTGCAGTGTTAAAAAGTGACCCTGGAAGGGGCAGTGAGAGCACTTGGGTGAAAGAGAGATGTCGATGACTTTCTGTAGAAAGCACCTTCAGCCAAGTAATGCAGAGAGTGACATTGCTGTCCAGTAAGTGGGGGAGGGGAGAAAGGAAAGGGAGAGCTGTGATTTGGATGGGTGGTCTGCACACCTGGCGTGTGAGACACTTTCTTCTCCCGAGAGTGCCCCACATTCACAACTTGGATTGAGAGAGATAAACCTTAGGAACTAAGTCTCAGTTCACTTATCTCACTAGTTGTACAAAACTATATAATATTTAAGCAGTCTGGCTATCGGTTTTCTCACCTGGTAAAATAGGCCTTTGCAACAGTGATTTGCATAGGAATTCATCTTGATTTTTTTTCTTTTTTTTTGAGACAGGGTCTTGCTAAGTAGTTCAGGCTGGCCTTCAACTCACTGTGTAGCCCAGGCTGGTCTCAAACTCCTGCCTCAGCCTCCGGAGTGCTGGGATTACAGGCATGCACCACCACACCCTGCTTACATTTTGTAAATTTATATTATTGTTGCATTTGCAAATGGTCCTCTCAAGACCAACACTTTTATAGGTGGCAGTTTAAATAGGCCTGCCTATAGTTACCCACATCAGTGCCCTTGGGCCTACCTGTACCTGTACTGCTTTCCTCCTCACCAGCTCAGAGAGCACAGGCTTTCACAGAAGACCATCATGTTGGGTTTTCCATAAAGAAAGGTGTATTTTTTAAGCTTTCAGAAAAAAAAAAAATTGTCTTTGAATGTTTTATGTTGCTGTTATAGAATATCACCGACTCAATAATTTAAGAAGAAAAGAAATTTCTTTCAGTTCTGAAAGCTGGGAAATCCAAAATCCCAAATCCTCGCTATTCTTGCTGCATCATAAGAAGGCAGAGGGTGAGCGAGTGCTCCAGGAGTTGCTGGTCCCATGGTTCGAGTCCCTGCTTTACTCACACCCCCACGGTTCCCAGCTGAAACTCATGGAGAGAGACAGGTATTTCCCATCTACTTC